AGTATCGAGAGTGGCGCAGCCGGTCTAGAGTGTCGTCGATGCGGGGGAGTGGGTAGACGTCTTTCTTCGTAACCGTGTTGAGCTGCCGGTAGTCCACGCAGAACCGAAGAGTTCCGTCCTTCTTCTTAACCAGCACGACTGGAGAGGCCCATGGACTGCTTGAAGGTTGGATTATGTCGTCATTCAGCATCTCTTGAACTTGCTGATGGATCACCTCCCTTTCCTTAGCGGAGACTCTGTACGGCGATCGATGCACAGGGCGCGCGTCGTCCTCGGTAACGATGCGGTGCTTGGCAACCGCGGTCTGGCGCATCTTCGACGACGTCGCAAAGCAGTCGCGGTATTCGGCGAGGAGGTTAGCCAGCTGACGCCGTTTAGGGTCCGGAAGCTTAGGGTCAATGTCGAGCTGCGCTGGCGACGTACTGTCTTGCTGGGGCGGCGAGGATTCGTCAGTAATCGCGGTGATTTCGGTGGGGTTTCGGAGTTTCTCGATGTGGCCCACGGCTGCACCTTTTGTGAGGTGTTGCGTTTCGTTTCGGAAGTTCGTCACGAGGGCCACAGTCCGCCCGTCCTGAAGTTCAGCTACTCCCCTTGCGACGCCTATGCCTCTTCCCAGGAGCAACTGGAGGCTTCCCTCGAGAAGAACTTCGCCACAGGAAGCTTCATCGATCCCGACAAGTACGAAAACACTCGACCGCGGTGGTAGGTTTACGTGGTTTGCGAGGACTCGGACCGTGGGTGACGTCGCTTGGGGTCCCTCCGCTGGTGGAGCAGGTTTTCGTAGCGTCAGCCGGTTTGTTCCGAGATCGATGACGGCGCCATACTCGCAGAGAAAGTCCATTCCGAGGATAACGTCCCTCGAACAGTCTTGCAGAACGACGAACTTGACAGGGCACGTTTCACCGTGGATGTCGACGCGAGCAGTGCATCTCCCGACTGGTGTGATGAGATGTCCTCCGGCGGTTCGTATTTGGGGTCCTTCCCACGGCGTCATGACTTTTCGAAGGCGGCGGGAGAGCCTCCCACTCAAGACTGAGTAGTCTGCTCCGGTGTCCACGAGTGCCGATGCGTCGAGGCCGTCGATCACAACGTTCAGGTTGTTAGACACCGATGCAGGAGCGTCGTTGTGATGCTTGGGGTCGGGAGAGTGGGAGCGCTCCGTCGTTCTTGGAGGCTCTTTACGTCGGTTGTCTTCGGCAACTCCACCTCCAGGGGTTGCCGCGCCTAGTTTCCCCGGTGAGGAGCGAGGGGTGACAGGCTTTCACGTCGGGGTCGGTGCATCGGCGAAGCTGGACGTCGGGGCGATGGCGACCGGAACTCTCGGCGGGACGCAGGCTCGGGGGACTGGGGTCGTCGCAGGTACTCGTCGATCTCCCGAGGGCGTTCACCACACCGGGGGCGCGGGTCGTTTGGGTGGAATCCGCGCAGCCCGAGTCGTCGGTATGGGCATCGGCGGTACACATGGTCGGCTTCCCCGCAGTGGTAGCAGAGCGGGCGTCGGTCGGCCGTTCGCCACACATCGGTCTTCCGGGGTACACGGGGCTCCTGGCTGGCGTACTGGGGCTGCTCGTCGCGGCGTCGGTCGTGCTGCGGCGCAGGAGACTGGCGTCGGGGCGGCGCGACATAGGCGCGAGGAGGAGGCGGTGGCCGTCGGGCCACTGCGGCGTAGGTCACGGTGGGCTCCTCGGGTGCAGCTACGTTGGCAGGAGCCTCCAGTTGAATTGCCCGCTGAACCTCGTCGCGGACAACTTCGACTATTGACACCGAAGCCGGCTGGTGGGTAGCAGGCAGGAGCTTCTTAATTTCCTCCCGGACGACGTCCCGGATGATCTGGCGAATGCTGGAGATGCTGGAGCCAAGGTCGCAAGCGGACGGCGGAACCGCGCTGACGCCGTGTAGCCTCTGGTAGTGGCTGGCTCGGGATTGCAGTGCACGCTCAATGTTCGTCGCCTCGGTTACAAATTCTTGAATCGTCGTCGGTGGGTTGCGTACGAGGCCACCGAAAATGTCGTCCTTCACGCCGCGCATCAGGATACGCAGGAGGTACGGGGATCGTTACGCCGCGCATCAGGATATGCTTCACGCCGCGCATCAGGATATGCGAGAGGTACGGGGATCGTTACCCCGCACCTCCACCAGAATGTCACGGGTGGTGAGTCGTGACCAATAAACAAGAAATAAACAGAAATAAATAAACGTTTAATGTGGCGAACTTGTGCCAAAAATAAAGAAGGAAACAGAAGAAAGCAGAGCGTCGCGGGCGTCGAAGTCGGCGTGTCAGCAGAATCGAGCGCTGGGGCGAGACTGACTCGACAAGGTCGCGGGCGGCCTCTTATCTAGAGTGCGCCGCTATCTCGAAGATTCGGCGAAAGCGGTTCGAGCGTCGCGTGATCGGGGCGAGAATGAACACGCACTTTCTAGAAAACAAAAGCAGGGATAAATGATAGAAGTTACGTGCGGTACATGAATAAACGGGAACTTTCTGGAGGACCGTGACCGAGCGTTGCTTTCTCAGCCTTGCGCGCGGCAATATTAAAATCATACTCCTGCAGTTTTAGCGCCCACCGACCGAGGAGTCCGGTTAGGTCCTTAAGGGAAGCAAGCCAGCACAAAGAGTGGTGGTCGGTGACCACTTCAATGTGTCTTGCATAAAGCTATGGTCGGACTTTTCCAAGAGCACAAGATTGAGATTTAGACGCTTCGTAAACAACACTTTAATAATATTTTAGACAGCATTCGTAAAACATGTTTTTAGGCGAAAGGCTTACTTGTCCCGATGAGCGAAAAAGCGTCGTATAAACCGATAAATGTATATACGATTGAGCGGCTCGCTCCGCTCATCGAGCGATATTACTTGTCCCATTGCCTTGGCGTCATCCTTGCGGTCATCCTAGAAGTCGTCCTATACCTCTAGGACGACTTCACTTTTCACAATACTTAAGAAACAAGCGGCGTCGGCGGCGTTGTGCTGTGCCCGAAGGATGATCATAAAATACGTCATCAGGTAACAGCAGCGTGATGCCAAGTGAATAACTTCTGCAAACATGAAATCCAGATAGAATCCATGTAGATGTCTAGTTTTATAATCCAGATAGAGAAACGTTATACTGGGTTTTTCGGTAGGGATGGATCTCTAAAAATCGCAAAACTCGATGTGTAACATACGAGTGTTCGATTTAAAGAATGATCTACCCGTTTAACACATCTAAAGTGGAATGACTTTTAAGATCACATCTTTAAGTGCCTCAAAATATTATTTAACTCACTAACTACGTTCTGAGACACATTTGTCGGTAGGTGTGAAACCGACATTAACGTCTATACCGAGGCGTTGACTTCAAAACAGTATTTTTGGTACACACCATACTAAACCAGAAACTAACGGACGACAAGGGCGCAAACACACACGTCTCAATCTTTATGAGTGAAGCAAAGTGATGAGGTGGAAAATGTGTGTGTTTTTCCCTTTGTCGTCCGTTCCTCGCCGGTTTAGAATCCTGTGGAACGTTAAGGAGCTCGCCTGCTTTATACATTTGGTTTCTGTTTTGCTCGTGACTTTATGTTTAAAAAAAATGGGGCCGCATCTCCACGTGGTGAATGATGTTCATTGCGGCGAAGCTGTGGTGGTGCTGATGATACTGATTTTATTGTTCATAGGTGGTGCGGAGTTCCGGATTGCGTTTCAACTTCATTATTACTGCTTAATGGTGGGTGAAATGCAGAGCCAGTGGTTCTTCTAGCGGATCAGCTTGGATCCGCTAGAAGCGGGGGGAACGCATCTCCACCGCTTAAGTCAACGGTCCATGTCAGAAAGAGAATGTGTTGTATGGATCGTGGTTATATACGCAGTTGAGCATTTGACCGCAGCGCCATCTCCTGTATAGACGTTGAGCGACTACATGCAACGTTGAAGTGTAGCGTAGTGTGCAATAAAGAAAAAAAAAGTGTAGCGTAGTGGTTAAGACGTCTGCCTCGTAAGCAAGCGGTTCCCAATTCGAGCCCCTAAACAAACGTACTTTTTTTTTTTTTTATATGGGCCGATTTCGGAGGCAGTGCAATTGATGTGAGCACGGACGCCGGACAAGGCTAGACCCTAAGGAGCTTCGCCCCTAAGAAAAAAAAACTGTACCGTGGAGTCAATATTACGCTACGCATATTTGTTGCTTTCGGGAGAAAAATGCGACCTGCCTGCGCACTACTCCAGCTTCCTCGCCAAAGCGGGAATAATTCGTGTCGCTCAGTAATGTCAGCACACCACGAGACAGGCCTAGAAAATGGTATACCATCACGTATCTCCGATCCTCACTATTACCGCCATTTTGATAAACGAGTGGCGCCACATATAGACAGTTGGAGTCGTGGGTGTAACGTGACACCTTCGCGTCACGTCACGGGGTAAACTTTCCCGCGGACTTTAGTGGGCTAAATGCCCCGTGGCCCACATCACATCTGTCAGCCACGTTAACTCTCCTTTGAGAATCTCCCCCAAACCAACAAAAAGAAACAAGAATATTGCGTTAAACAGAAATCACCAGTAGTATTAATATTAATTTTGGTTCACATGTAAAACAAAACCAGTCAATAAAGATACCCTCGGGTGACGTAGCCTATCTGTGTTTATTTGCTTTGCAACTAACATTGATACTCACCATTCAAAACAAGCTCTCACAAATAAGTTTATTCTGCCAGCATTTTAGCTTGCTAATGAATACCAACAATTATCTTTATATAATTCAATGCATATTTTTCTGCTATTGAAGCATATGATTATATAGCATCGTGAAACGAAAAATGTGAGTCGCTACTCTTGTAGGTGTTTCTTGTTTCAATTTACTATCGTTAGCTTGGTTTGATCTATGGTTTTAGTCAGCGCCATGCACATTCCTGCAGCTCATGTTAGGAGTGAGACCTCACGTCATGGAGGGTTTATGAGTCAGTCTTACCATTTGGAGAGGGTGTTCGTGTTTATTTCTAAGCGCATTTTTTTCCTTCCGTCAAAGGTCTTGATAATCTTCATGCACTTACGAGTTTTCCGAACAACCAACAAGCTCTCAGAATCGAACTGACAAAAATAGGACAAAGGGAACCGACAGTATTGCTCTATCACAAATTCGTCGTCGGCTCCAAACAGGAGGGTTACAAGCTGACCGTTGCCGACTACGAGGGTCCTCATCAAGGTAGGTATCGGTTCTGCCGCAGTGCCTTTCGCAACAAATGCGAAGAATGTGGAATGGCGCGTGTTATTGAGCGCTTTGTCAGCAGGGAGCAGGACCTCTGCGGCTCTGCCGATAGAAAACCGAAAATTGAAAACAAGCCCAAACTGTTTTTGAAAGGCTGTAAATGCTTGGGGTGCTTTCTGTCTTTCTACGTGCGCTGATTTTGTGATTCTAGACGGTTGTTAGCTATTTTCTAGCTGAAACATCGTTTAAATTTGTTAATTTAGAAATTCAAATTCCCAAACCTAATTCAGAACTTCGTTATCGCAGACGGTAATGATTGTTCTGAATGTACCCTTTTAAGAAACTAGAACGAAATTAAAATCTTCTGTGTGACGTGTAGTTTCGCACGAACAATTCGGCTCATGTTCCGCGAAACAGGCCGGCATGATCCACCTTTTATGAGATGGTAAAAATGATGTGCTATAACAGGGGTGGCCAGAGTGACATGGGGTTAGAGATGCAAACAAAACTATAAACGTTCTGAGAGCCGCAGGACAAAAGGAAGTAGTAATTCAAGTACACTAATTGAATTAATGTAATTTAATTACTTTCTTCTAAATTTGTAATTGCGTTTAATTACTTTGGGCTATAAGGAATTGTAATAGTAATTTAATTACTTTCTAGCTTCAGTAAGTGCAAAATTTCGGGCACAATTACAAATTACTTTTGCAAGACTGCGGCTCTGGCGGAATGCCTCTGAAAGCCTCAGTGCCCGCACCAGCGGCCTAGCTCTCGGTGACACACTCGCAGTTCCAAGTTTATTTTCTGTTGGCTTTACTTCGTATCATATTGGATTCAGCGTTTTGGAGACTGACTTCTCACCTGGGAATATTGTCACCATTGATTCAGGAGCCCCGATTCGGTTCTTACATAATTCTGAACCATCATAGTTCCAACTCAATGTAAATAAATCAATGAATCAATGAATCAATCAATCCTTTATTTCACATCAGAAACTGATGTAGGCTGCAGGGGCAAAAAGTCAAAAGTTTGACTTGACAAGGCCTCTGCAGCCTTACAATTGGCACACGGCGACATACTACACATGAAGTAATAACATTAAGTTTTCAGCTTTTAACATTAAGCAAATAAATAAATAAATAAAAAAGAACCAGAAGAACAGCATAAGTTAAACACGCTGTTAAAGATAACAAAAAAATCATATACATATATACACATACACATATACATATGTATATACATACATGTATATACACGCATACATACACACACATACATACATACGCATCATACAGACGCGCATATACACACATATATATAAGGCACATAGCATATTTAGGTACATGACAGGACAATACCATAAAACGTCTGTGTGTAAATGCGTTCCTATTAGCACGTGTGGATTATAATAACACTATTAAAATATTCTGAGAAGACTAATTGTCGTATATTTATTTGCCTGGCTAGCGAAATTGTGTCAACCTGATTTTACTTTACCGATCTGGCTCCTTCGAGCATATGAGCTAATTTAATATTATTTCTTGAAAATAAAAGAATGTAAGACTTCATTGCCCCAGACTGTCCAGTAGTATTAATAATTTAACATAATTCACACGAGTAACGTACAATACATGACATTTACACAGCGATGCCTAAGCCTCCTCCTAAGTGGGGCAAGCAAAGAACAAATGCGTTGCATTCTTAACTACTCGCTTAAAGTCATATGGCCCAAGTCGAATCGCTCGCATAGATAAGTAATTGTATTACATTTTAAAAGTAATTTGTAGTCGTAATGAATTACTTTCACTTACTAGTAATTGTAATTGTAATTAAACTACTTTTAAAACAAAGTAATTGTAAATGTAATTAAATTACATTTTGAGAGTAATTTACCCATGTATGGGGCATCTTTATGCCGAAAAGCAATATGGTTTTATGTACGTTGTCTAGTACAAGACTGCCAAGACTATGAGCTTTTTTATTTTTTTTTTATTGTAGAATATTGTTTTGTCTTGGTGACACGGGAGGAGAAAGGGGGCAGACTTACCAAGGAGCCGTGAGCCGCACTTGGACCCGTGAACAGCCGCACGCGGCTCGAGAGCCGCGGTTTGGCCCTTTGCTATCATGTTAACTTTTGACTGCTGTTTCTTACCAGGTTTTGTTTACCATTCAGTTCAACTGCATACATCCGTAGTGACTGGTACAGCTGAAGCCCCAGCACGATTCCGGACATTAATTATTGACACTTTAAGTGGGTTGTCGAACTAGTCAGACTAAATGCATTTTCGGAAAACCCAGGCTTTAGTCTTCCCAACTTGCTATTTATTATCTCTCCATTCAGATTAGCAATTGAGAAAGCAGCAAATGAAGGTTCTGCCAAAATCAACATTCAAATTTTCCCGCGTTCTCCAGCAGTGTGATGTCACACGCTGTATAACTTGGAAGTCGAGCAGACAGTTTAAAACGACACTGTACTTTAAGCGTTTTTTTTTTTTTTTTTGGCGTGAGCTAGCTTAGAATTTATTGCACGCCACCAAACAAGTACAAACTGTGCTGTCCCCATATAGTAATCCTATATAGGAATCAATAAATGGATTGAAGAATGATAACGGCCGTACCTTTGTAGCGGGCGGTAGCTTGCTCCACTTAGCGTCACGTTTTTGGCGTCGCGTTTTCAGTGTTGTCAATGTTACCATGGAGCCTTTCGGACCAGATTTTAAAATGCATTAACTTCAGAAAAAAAGTACTGTGATTTGTAATTTAAGTTACTAGTTCAGTTGTGTCAATCAATGCGTCTAAACAATTTGTATGCAAATCAGTTTGGAAGTAACGAAAATCATTTTGTGTTCACTGACGCAGTAAAATGATTCTAGATGTTTGCCTATAACAGAACATATTATATCACAGAACATAATATTTTATATTTGCTGCTTGTTAGAATATCATAATGCAAGAGCCGTCAACACCCTCGCTTGGCTGACACTGGTGTTTTGGCATGCACAGATTACGACGCGTTGTCCTACCACAACGGACAGAAGTTCACCGTCAAGAAGAGCATGACGCAGCCACCCGACGGAGACAGATGCTCCGCAAGACTAAGTGGTGGCTGGTGGTTCAAGGATTGCAACGAGGCAAATCTTAACGGACGTAAATTCACCTACACTTCGCCAACAAAGGCCCTCGGTGTTACCTGGCACATCAAAGGCCAAGAAGAATCCTACTATTATCCCTACGACAGTGTGGAGATGAAGATCAAGGACTACGACTATGGTTTCTGCACGGGCGCTTTTAGATCCAAACGTATCTAATTTCTAATTTCTGCTTCGGTGCAAAAAAAAAAAAAAGCACTAAATTGAGCGGAAGTTGCCATTTACGATATGCTCCGTTAATTTCTCGCTTTTTGACTTTTTTTCTGCAAGCTTTGGAAATAAAATATCACTGCTAGAGAAAACAGCATGAATTGTCTTGGCTCTCCCGGCTACCGCCAACGTCCAACGCTAAAGCGGCGGTCCCACTGCTTATGCATTTTACAAAAGAGACGCTGCAAACACTGTCTGAGGCCTTCCTTGAAGATGAGGGTCCCGTCACACTGGTCATATCAAAACCCATTTTAGACATGTTAAAAGCATACATATGCACGAAGCACACACGCTTGAAACCTGATTGAGGCGTGAAAGCAGTGAAATCATGACTGCAGCCCGTGTCGTTTCTATGACGTACGAGCAGTGTGTGAGCGGCTTAAATTCACCAACTGCGCACCATTAGCGCCGACTAAAGCGCGGACCACATGGCGCGTTTTTCTGCACGCGAAAACGCGACGCGCTATGAACGCTCGCGCGGAAGCTGGCGCGGCACCAAGCACCGCCGGCCGCGCGTTATCAGCGTTGCCAGATAACAGAATTCTCAACACGCGATGTAAATCTTGACGCAAATATTAAAAATGAGAACTAAAGGAACAAATAAGTAAATAAAACTGGTTTGTGTGTCAAAAGACACACCTTTTAATTTTATATGGGAAATAAAAATGCTTTTGAACACTTCGAAATGGGCTGAATACGAAAGAGCGTACTGTGCAGGATCACGTGATAGTTCGACCGACCCTCATTGGGCGAGACCCGCTTCGACGCCTCGGCACGCGTGTCTTGTTCTGGGTCGGCTGGAAACCAACGCTCCCGCGAAAACGCGCGCCCGCGCGCAGGAAATGACGTCAGTTTTACACTGACGCGCCTGAGTCGCGAGCAACGAGGTAGAGGGGCTTAGAGCGATAAACCGGGGTTCCGGTCTGCACTCGAAAGTGACCCCCATAAGGCGGCTGCCATTGTACGCAAATTTGACCACACGTCACATGACCAAACCAAATACGTGACGTCGCAGGAAAGATGGCAGCGCCCTTGCAGCGGCTGGCCCCAGCTGGGCCGGAGCTTGTCGGATGCTTTTTTGGTTGTCGTTCGTCTCGGCGAGTTGATTTCAGACGCGGAAGCCGTCATATGAGGCCGGTCGAAAGCGAGTTCAGAGTTCAGCGTGGTGTTTGACGTAGGTATAACGTGAAAATACGGAGAAACGGTGTGCATTTCGCTGGTGACCGTCTGCATTTCGCTGGTGACCGACCGGGATATTGCCACGGAAGAGACAATCTGACCTACGTTGCTCGGACCTCGGATTGATTCGGATACCGCTAGGATAAAATTTAAGGCGACGTTTCTGTGCTCTCATTGACCATCGGAATCTTCGAGGTTTGCAGTGAAGCGTGGGCAATATATTTGGATACACAGTTTAACGACGGAAATTGCATGAGTCGTGCTTGGCGGTGTGCAATCGCGGTGCAGCTTCGGTCAAATGACCGAGGGCTCACTTCGGTTGTGCGGCGCACCGGAAGGCTGCCTTGAAGCTGGTAGTTCCCGTGCCGTGCTGAATGATGCTGTGCTGCTTACAAATTGTTCCGGCGTAGAAGTGCACTTTCACGGAGCACAGGTGTGCGGCGCACCGAAGAGCTGCCTTCAAGCTGGTAGTTCCTGTGCCATTCTTTAGGTGATGCTGTGCTGCTTCCGAAATTGTTCCGGCGTAGACGTGCACTTTCACAGAGCACAGGTGTTGCAGTTGGTATTGATCCCGCTGGTCTGTCGCACGTTTCGTCAACACAAACGTTCATCCACACTCGTTACGCGAATTACAAGCTGTCCGGACATTTCATCGAGCGTGTTACGTACCCAACTCACGCCGCTTTGTGGCAACAGTCTGCAATGGCTCATTGCCAGAAAAGTGGTCCCACATCCATTTCAGTTCAGTACGTCCACGGCAGTCGCCAAACCCCGAAGGAGAGGATTTATTCGGACAAAATGCCACTAAAGCAATGCAGCTTCTTCAGTGTTCAGGATAGATTCTCTTCTGCGAGTTTTGTTATACTGTCACGGATCCTTGTTCCAGTACTCTCTTCTATCAATATTCACTATTTTGGGACACTGCAGGTCATGCTCAGCTCTAATCGTATGTTCAGGTGGAGGTGCTGGGCACTTTACCCATAGCCCTTCACTCTGTGTGAACCCGGCGGCTCTTCAGCCGAGTTACCCGATAATGGGACACGGCTGGCGGACTATCCTGCGTCTTATGCCCCTGTCGAGCCATAAGCAAAGTCCTGACCCGAGCCTGGCAGAACAACCGCAAGACGACCGAGTACCACAAGGAGTAACCTCGGAAATACACCACGAAGCACCTGAAATCCGAGCCAGTTGCTGCTACCAGGAAAAACCACCGGAATTCGGTCTCCTGTCAGAAAATCCGAAGCTGACTAAGCCAACAATGACAAGCCTGTAGCAGCAAACCGTGTCCCCTCCCACCATTGTTTGCATGCCCGTCGCAAATCCCACTCCGACGCTTTTTCACGCAAGCTGTATGAAGACGTCAAGGACTGGATTGAACAATATGACAGTGTCGCCCGTCACATTGGGTGGACAGACAACCAGCTCCTGCAGAACCTATACTTCTCGTGGAGGAAACTGCCGGCGCTGGTCTGAGAACCATGGATCCTCCTTAACGTCATGGGAAGTTTGCAAGATCGAGCTGAAGCGCGCATTCGTCAGCCAACATCAACGAGAGAGAGCCGCATTCTTGATTCTGTCCAGGGCACTGTCCCAATGAGAGCGCCACCGCACTCGTGGAGGATGTTTTGCGCTTGATCGAGCGCCCACGCCCACGCCCACGCCGACCTTGACGCTGCAGAAGACAAGAACCTAAGAATCCCATGCCCCTCACGTGAGGGACAACACCTTTGGCAGCCTTGTCCGCAACCCCCCAACAACAGTCGAAGTGTTCATATCACTGAGGCTTCCAACATGGAATGTGCACTGCATGCCCGAGCCTGCCACTATGAACAACTTCCCGGCGTCTCGACACTCGAGTTGTCCAGCTACTACTTCGACGCCAGCCTCCCAGGCATCCACGACGTTGTCTGGGAGGAGATCAGGAAGCTACTTCCTGCCATCAGTTGCCCGGCTTTTATTTTGATTGCCGAGACTGTTTCGGAACAAGTTTGACAGGTATTTCAACCGAGACTTCTGCGAGCGAAGCGGCACTTGACAAACCAAGGGCAACTTACGCCACAATGGCACGACGACCGCCACCGGCTGCCCCTTTGTATTCAATGCCAATTCAATGAGACACTCTAACGCCGAAGCATTCCCGGCATCGTGTGTAGGTCTGTGCTCAACAAAGTACACCGAGGAAAACGTAGGTGATGCGAATGTGCGACCGAAAACCACTTTGCTACCACTGCGTGAAGCCGACCATGTCTACCAAAGTAGCCCGTACCAATGAATTGGTCGGCGAGGGTTCGTGCCAAACGACCCTCGATTACGTCTCGAGGAGCGACCACGGGAGATTAAGGATTACCTTCGGCGACCTTTTGTCCCTGATGCCGAAGGTGCTGAAACGAAGATTCTGAATCCCTGATTACCCCAAAGCTCCTCATGTCCATCACCTCAACAAGAGGTAAGCACGACAAAGCAGGTGAACGGCGATGCAGTGACAGTGGATTTGGTGTCGGTTGTCGTCCAAGGACAATACCTAAAAATTTGCTGACACCAATTTTCTGTGTCCACTCCACGAAGTACACAATTTCCAACTTTGAGGGAGAATGCCCCTGAGTGACTTGAAGGAATAGAATGGTTGGTTGCTCTCAAAAGTGAACTGCAAGCATCACCAGACTTGGATAGCAAACAAAAATTGTTGCCAGCTTTCAAGTCAACGGTACAGCAAAAGGCACAGCCACGTAAGCAATACATGCCCGAGCTTGCTACATTGATGCCGAAAACTACCAGGAAAATTTTCGGATTAGAAGCCAGCCCTGCAGCTTTAGTGCATCAGACGTCAGTGGCCGCACATGACGTATGATTACAAGACAGCATCAGTCGGTCAAAGTTGCCACTCGACCAAACTGAACACCGACGTGCCAGGAGCGTTATCCGACAACAAGGTCCACAGGTACTACGACTGAACGCCTGACACGAGACTGTCGCAGAAAGAACTCGTTATGGAACCATTTACTAAGAATCAATAATTATGTAATCAAGTGGAAATAAACATATTTGATACACTAACCCGATAAACATATTTCCCCTTGCCTTCATGCCTTGAGAGTCTACACACCGAGAATTGTGTCCACTGCACGCTCTGGACCTTACGAGGACACTCGCTTCTCTGACCCTTCAATATTAATTAAGGGGTCATACCAGACTCGCAGACTTCTAGCAAGGGGCTGCACTCGTTCAACCTTTCCTGAACATGTGGTGCATCCGAAAACCAACTCCAGTGATGTGAAAATGTTATTTATTAATTTATTCCTTCCAGGGGCCTTCGTAGGCATTGCAGAGAGGATACTTAAAACTACACACATGATAATAGCATTAAAGCACACTGCTGTAACTTGTTAATTGGAAAAACAAACACACCTCTGAGCATATAGTTTAATAGTATGTGTTGATGCATTGTTATATAGCATGACACTTCCTATATGTATGACACACTAGACCCTTTGCAGAACCTTATCAAGCAACACAACCGTCACCATGTTTTTCGGCGTAAAGCACACGAATGGGCCCCAGTTCACGTCGAACGCTAATGCAGCATTCGAGTCCAATAGGTGCTGAGCCGAATTCACAGGGATGGCGGACATAACATTCTTGTCGAACAAATGCCCAAACTCTGAAAGCCTGGGGTAATTACAGTAGTAGCTGCTGTAATTTGTTTCATCAGAATTTGGCAGACGGCAAAGGCTACAGTCTCGGTGAGTCAATACACACATTGGAGAGAGGCACATGACAGCATATCACCAGAGTGCTCGTCTGCACAGATTTGTCACACA